CATTGCTTACTGCAAATGCTGTGAGGCAGGTAAGATGTTCACCGTGTCCTAGAGACTCACCCACTGGTCCAGCACCATGCAATGAAATGACCATGACCTCCCTACTGAACAATCCAGGTGCCTCCACACGAGGGGTTTGACTAGGAATCTTCCTTCTGCTCCTTTTGATGATGTGTCTTCACTTTTCAATTTTTCAACCCTCCACCATCTCCATCTGCATTGTATGGCTGGTTTCGCTTCCTCCACTTAGCAGTCAAGAAGAATTGTCACCATCTTTGTGGGGCAGGTGTTGGTATTGCTGAGAAACAAAGGAGGAAGTGCCCTGCTCAAGTGTCCTTCGACCATTCAGGATGTGGTAGCACCACAAGTGATATTCAATGTGTGCCTGTGTATGTTCCTGCCTTGGAACAGGACTCTATGAATGTTGTTGTGTCTGAGTCCTGATGAGTCTCAACGGTTGGAAGAGGAGAGTGACACTCGACCTCAAAGGTGCTCTGAAGGGGCAGAAATGACTCAGATGATTGGCCCCCAGGACATGGAGAGCTCCCACTGCTCACAGAGACAGAAAGTCAGGTGGAACCTGTAACAGACATAGGACCTGCGTCTCAGGGCCAAGAGGAGGCATTGAGCTTCCTGTGGGAACAGATGCATCTTGCACAATCCCAGGCTCCTCCCTCCCCCAACCCTGGGCTCACTGTCCTGAGGGCCCCTTGGTGCCCCCAGTCAACAAGGCAGAAAGGGAGGTCACCTTCACACACCCCAAGGCAGCCATCATGTCCACCTCCTTCCTGAGCTCTGAGCTCCACACCCTCACTCCCTTCTCCAGTTCACTCTCCTCATCTTCCCTGGCCACTCCCTTTCAGAAGCTGTTTATGCTTAAACCCTTCCATGGTCCTCACTGTCTTCAGGGTGAATCCACACTCTTCCTAATGAACTCAAGGTTGTTCATGACCATCCAGATGTGAGGGTCCCACCTCAGCTCTCATCTCTGCTTTCCTCAGCCAAATGGGTATAGCTGCCCATGAACACACACACACTCACATACACACATGCATATTCATACACACACTCACACATATGCTCACACAGACACTCACAAGCGCACACAGTTTTTCATTTCATAGGTTTGATGTGTAATAGTTACATTATCATTTAATCTAAAACATTCACTTCTGCTTTGATTCACACATTGATTATTTCAAAGTCTGTTGCTTTATTTCTGAAACGTAGGGAATACATTTTGGAAATAAGTGTATGTTGTTTCGGTCTAGGAGGTATGGAGTGGAGGTGGCTATGTTCAGATGGGCTCAGGGGGCCCCGTGAGGAAGCACCATGTGGTCCTAACCCAGGGTTAGTGTGTCAGGAGGGGAGGAGGTTCACTGGGATGAGTTTGATTGGAGGAGGCATTGGCCTCCCTGAGACTAGAGTGTAGCTCAGCCTGATCGCCAGCAGCATAGACTGTAGGGTAGAGATCCCTGGCTATTGCTGGAGTCAGGGAAGACCTATGGACAGCCTTTTGTGCAGGGGATGTTTAGTGACAGGTACTTTGGAGCCATGAGAATGAAACCTTTGAGCCCACAGTGAGGGTCTGGAGGCGGCCAGAAGGCGGCTGATGTGGTCACCTCAAGGAGTTGTCCTGGGTCTTCATCTGAGCTTGTCTTTGGGAAGAAATGCATCACAGAAAGGAAAACCAGGAGACAGACCAGTGGTATTGGTTCAGTGTGTGAGGGGGAGAGAGGGGGAAATGGAGGGTTCCTCCTCTCTCCACCTTGGGTGCCTGCAGGAGCCAATGAGGCTGTGCCAAGGTTGCTGAACCCAAGAGGTGCAGGAGGCCTGGGGGATGTTACAAAACTGTCAACTCACCCAAAGAGGCAACCAGCACTGCCGTTCAGGCCTGGGTGTGTGCTGCTGCTTCTCCCTAGCACTTCCTCTCTCTGACTTCCCTGTCTCTGTGAGCAGAGCTCCTGCTCTCCAACCCTCTCCATCAAACCTTCAGAGTCCTTTCTGCCTCCTCAACGCCTCTTGTCCCCAGATTGTACCTCTTTGTCTTATGCTGTTTATTCCACCTCCATGCTTTGAATAGAAGAGCACTTTGGAGGCCAATTCCAGGTTGTCATCTAAAATCTGGGGACACGTTTATTGAACTTCTATTTTGAGCCAGTCTCTTCTCCTCTACCTCTTCGCCTGTTGGGCAAAATTGTGAGCCCTCACCTCTGAGGTTGTTATGAGGATCGGCAGTGCCTGAGACATGAAGGGCCCCAATCTGGTCTCATTTTTTCCTTTTTTTAAATATTTTTTATTTATTTCAGAGAGGAAGGGAGAGGGAGAGATAGAAACATCAATGATGAGAGAGAATCATTGATCAGGCGACTCCTGCAATCCACACATTGGGGATGGAGCCCACAACCCAGGCATGTGCCCCTGACTGGGAATTGAGGCATGACCTCTTTGCTCATAGGTTAACTCTCAACCACTGAGCCACGCTGGCTGAAAATCTGGTGTCATTTTCTGACCTGATGAAGGCATGTGTATAAGAGACGTGTGGAAGGAAGCACTGTTTGGAAGTCACATGTGTGTCCCCAAAGCCTACAAGGTGAATCAGAAGCTGTAGTGCATCCTTGGTTGAATTGCAGATGAGCGCAGACAAAAGGATGAGGGATGGTGGGTCTCATCACGGATCCTAGACTCAGCCCAAGTCAGGAGTGAAGGTGGAAATTTAATGAGTGGGTTGGTCAGTAAGCACTAAGGCACTTAGGGCACCTTGGACCCAGAGGGAGTCCTGCTCCCATAAAGTTCCACAGACACAAATAGGGCAACCTCCAAGGTATAAGGGAGCTATAGAGAACCACGCGTGTTTCACTTGCATTTATTTTTATTAAAGCAACAGTCACATAACATACAATTGAGCCTTTTAAAATATGAAAATCACAAGAGTACAGTAAATACACAATGTCTCAATGACAGCATCTATCTAGTTTCAAGAAGTTTTTAAGCTCCCCACCCACACACACACAAAAACTACACCAAGCAGTCAGACTCCCATATGCCCTGCTGGTCAGCCCCTGACAAACCAATCTAACTTCTATTTCTATGGGTTTCCTTCCCTGGACATTTCACATAAGTGGAATCACACTAAACCTGATCTTTTGTGTCCGCCTTCTGTCACTGAGCTGCATTATTTTGACGTTCACCCACATTGTACCCGGTACCCGTCCTTTGTTCTTTATGGTTTAAAAAATCCCAGGGTTGTGAAGACACCTCATTTTGTTGGGATGGACGTGACCCAGCATGAAGATGTATAGATGTGAATCCGATACAGCCATGTTAGACAAACCCTCATGTCACAGGATGAGAACAGAAGGGCAGTGGAGGAGATCAGCGAGGTCAGGGAGGGAGGGCGAGCACCCCAGGTGGATGCAGAAGGACATGACCCACATTCTCCTCAACCCAGACCTCACCTACCACGTCTACTCCCCGAAGAAATTCTCAGCAGACAGTTTCCCCAACAATGGTCCTGACTTTGATTCAGCACTTACTGGGATCCTCAGATGGGCTCCAAAGCTCCCCCACTCTGAATGGTGTGTTGTTCCCTCTGTGGTCACCTCCTGGCTGCATGGAAGGCCTTTTTGGTGTCGTTTTGAGCCTGAAATAGCAGCACCCCGAGGACCACCAGGACCAATCCAGCCACGCCCATCCGGATGAGATTCTCCACTGTGTAGTCTGGGAATAGAAAAATAAGAATTGCGGGTAAAGAAGTCTGAGAGGTCAGGGCAGACCCAAATCTCCAAGATTTTGATGTTCAACCTGGGCTCCCACCTCCCCTTGACATCAGTGTCCCTGTGATGTCTGAACTCTGCACCTGGTCTGAGTCACCTTGATAAGAGTTAGCTGTGCCCAAGAACTGAGGGTGAGTAAGAAATGGTCTCAATTCAGAAATAACTAAGAGCTGTGTGTAATCCCAAGAACTGAGGGTGAGGGGACTAATGGTCCCAATTCAGAAAAAACTAAGAGCGGTGTGTTCTGTACTCAGCCTGAGACGCAGACCCATGAGCTTATTCCCCTACAACTGAGATTCCACATTTTCAACAGCTGCGGACCCATGGTCCCTGGAGGAGGGGTTGGTGTCAGGGGCTCCTGAATCTCAGGATCACGAAGGGGTGAAAATTTGGGCTGGGTCTCCGTCACCCCACACCACCCAGGCCCCTCCTCTCTGGGTTCCGCATTTTCATTTTCACCTGGAATTATTCATGAATTGATTCTTCTATTAACTCATTTATTTATTTATTAAATATATTTTTATTGATTTCCGAGAGGATGAGGGAAGGAGACATAGAGAGAAACATCAATGATGAGAGAGAATCATTGATTGGCTGCCACCTGAAAACGCCCTTCAGGGGACTGACCCTGCAACCTGGGCATGTGTCATTGGCCAAAATCATACCTGGGACCCTTCAGTCCACAGGCCGACGCGCCATCCACTGAGCCAAACCAGCTAGGGTTTAGCTCATTTATTCTACAATTATACAAATGAATACCTACAGTGGTAGATATGCTTACCAAATGATAAATGTGGGCATATGGATGCTAATGGTTTGAGCTTTTGCTTTATCTCAAAGTACAACAAAGGTCATAACCAATGAAGTCCACACTTCTGCCTCAAACTTTAAGTCACAGAGAAAATCCCCCTAATTTCATTATTGAGAGAGCACCCAAAGTAGGAAATCATGTCAACCTGTTACCCTATTTGCTATAAAACCCGAGATATAAATGAAATTATTGACATCTCCTTGTTATAGTGATCCATGCAATAACACTAAATGTCATATCCACAGTTCAGAAAATGCACATGGATGATCAACGTCACTCAGTTGGGTTAATATCGAAATAGGTGACACCAAGAAGCCTTTGTAATGTGTGTCATGTGGTTAAAAGTTTGAGAAAAGATAATTATGGGGGGGCGGTTGGGCATCTGTCAGGAAAAGGAGCATTCCTAGCAAACCCTAATGAAACAGAAGAGGTGCTGGGGGTGGGGGGTAGGAGCCCCTCTCCTTGGTCAGAGCGAATGTGTCAAAGCCGGCCTCCATGTGGCACTGGAGGGTCAGGCTGTGTCCAGGCAGCACCAGCGAGCCTGGCTGGGCCGAGGAGGTGGGCTCCCTGTGCACACCTGGGAGGAGGGGACAGTGGCACCAGGGGACACCCCACATTGCCCTCTGGGTTGAAGTGAGGTCTCACATGTCCCTCCCTGAACTTCCCGCCTGTGGTTCTGTTCCCAAGAGGCGAGTGTCACTGACCCCCATGACCTCAGGTCCCCAGTGGACACAGAGCCGTGATTTTGGGCCCAGTAAAACAGATGGGGATGCATCTGGGTCTTTCCTCACCTGTGACCTCGATGTGCAGAGGGGCACTGGGCTGTGACCACAGGTTGGGATTGGAGCTGAAAGAACCATAGCATCTGTAGGTACCCCCATGGAAGGCACTCATGGGGCCCAGAGGGAAGATGGCCTGCCACCTCCCAGCATAGATCCTCCATTCTGCTTCCATGTGTCGGGGCGGGTCAGCCCCTCCCTCCTTCAGCAGATGGAAAGGGCCCGATATGAACCATGAGCTACAGGAGAGGGACACGTTCTCTCCTGAGGCCACCACAGGGCTTGGCTGGGCTGAGAGGTAGGGTGCAGGGTACATTCCTGAGGGAGGAGAAAGGGTGTGTGTTAAAGGGACCATCACTCTCCTGCCCAGGGGTGTTCCTGAGGCCAGACTTTATTCCCTCTGCCTTTGACCTGGAACCCACAGTGAGGAGGGGTACCCACTGTATTCCTTACCTGTCACCACCAGGAGTAGGGGGTCACTCCGCTCTGACAGTATGTCCCCAGTGCTGTAATATGCACACTCGTACAGGCCTGGGTGGGATGGGGTCGTGGCTCCAATGGGGAAACCGGCCTTGATGCTGGAGTCCTGTGGGCTCTTCGTATCCAAGGGCTCAGAGCCCCTCTCTTTATACAGAACGTAAGCACTAGCCTGCAGAGACCCCTGACACCAGATGGTCACGGGGGTCCCCTTGGTGACGATGGGACCTGGGTCAGCCCAGATGGAGGGTTTGGGAAGCACTCCTGGAAAGGAATGAGACCTGAAATCTCAGGGGCGTCCTTCTCCCCACCTTTACCAGCTGTCACTCCCAGTCCCCTCTCAGATTGGTGACCATTATTCCAAACCCTGTGTCTCCACAGCTGCTCTGGGGTGACTGTGCTGAAGCAGGAGGTCAAGGAGAGCAGGGGGAGGAAACTCACCTGCCTGTACCTGGTCCCACGGGCCCTGACACAGCCCTGCAAGAGAGTTCCTGTGAGTACCATCCCTGACCGCACAAAGAAGCTCCAGGCCTGGTTGGGGGCCCTGAGCACTGGGGACATACCTGGGGCTGAGCACGTCTCCTCCCCACTAAGTCCTGTCGCCACTGAGCCTCCTGAGTCCTGGGCTCTTGCAAGACCAGGACCTGGGAGGGGAGGGGACCCCATCCCTCCTTTCCCCACAAACTCACCAAGGCCCAGGAGGACAATGAAGGTCAAGGTGGTGGTGCTCTCTGCCATGGTCCCCAGTGGTACCGATGAGGGATGAAGTCTGCAGAGCCCAGCAGGACAAGCAGATGCACGGGTGTGACAGTGTCCCGGCTCCGGGTGACAGGTCCCTGTTTCTTCGTCAGCCTCACTCTGCTCTCCAAGAAGGATGGATGAGGACACAGCAGGTTCCGAGACTTCAGTACCAGATTTGAGTCACAGCAGACACCCCACACTCTGCCTCCACCTCCTGTCCAACCCCAATCTAGAGGGTGACCCTGGTCCCAGTCCCCGAGGGTGCAGGGCACAGGGCAGAGCAGAAGGAAGCACCAGCTCCTGCCTCCCACAGAGTCTGTGTGACCTTGGGAGTTTCCTTCTCTTTCCTGAGACTCCACAAATGCACGTTTTCTCCCTTCCTTTCACCATCCCTTCAGCCCAGTGATGGTTACTGAGCTGTTAGCACCCCCTCCCCTCCTCCTTTCCCCAGAGCTCACCGAGGCCAAGAAGGGTGGTGAGGTTCTACGTTGGGTGGCTTCTTCAAGTGGTCCTCAGTGTGCAGACGACATAAACTGTACAGAGCCTGGGGGACAAAGGCAAGAATGAGGTGTGACAAGGTCCAGTCCCCAAGTTATATGTCACTGGTTCCTCATCAGTGGCATCACAGGAAGGGAAGTAGCCCCTCCCTGAAGGGTGGGCCTTAGAGGACAGCAAGCTGTGGGAACTCTGAGACTGACCTGAGTCTCACCAGACCCCGCACACTCTGCCTCCACCTCATGCCAAACCCAAATCCAGAGGATGACAGCCATCCCAGGTGAGGAGGGTGGAGGAACAGGGCAGGACTTCACCCAATGAAGGCCCAGTTCTGACTCTGCCTTTTCTAGAACCTCTGTGAGCTTGTGTAAGACATTTCCCTTTCCTGAGCCTCTGTAAATGGAATTGCCCTTCCCTTCTCTCACTGCCCGGCATCCTGACAGTACTAACTGAGCAGTAACCCCAGACCATCACTGGCCAGGCAGTACTTACTGAGCAGTAACCCTGGACCGTCACTGGCCAGGCAATCAGACAGTATTACTGCGTTGTAACTGAAGTTCAGAGATCCCTTCCCTGGACTCATGGGGCTGAGATGAATGAAGCAGATGTTACAGATATTTCCGCTGCAAATAGTTCAGTTGCAGTCTCGTGTACATGTTGGGAGAATAAAGGAAATGAGATAATGAGGTTCAATGACAGGTAGAAGACATGCAACACAGGTTCTGGCTGAGGGGGTCCTTCTCCGGCATGGACTGTCCCAAGGCATGAGCAGGGAGGATTCCAGAGGTGGTGGGCTGTGGGGAGGGACGGTGTGTCTTTGACCAGAAAGATCTTGAGCTGTTGTCAGAAGTAAGAGCTGTCAGGCAAAGGCTCAGGCTAGTCACACAGGGTCTAGTGAGCCACACGAATATTTGGGATTTTAGCTCCAAGTCAAAGGGATAAATTTGAAGCAACAGATTGTAGGAAAAGATTTCTGATTTAAAAAGGTGACCACTATGTGAAAATGCCATGCAGACTGGCTCTATTGATTGTTAACGCCATTGAGGGAGAGTCATGTTTGCTGGGGCTGGTGAGTTTAGCTCAACCTGACCATTCACAGCCTTGAATATCAGATGTGCACCTTGGACCTCTTTTGAAGGTGGAAACTGGTGGAGGGCGTGCAGCAGGCAGGCTCAGACCAGACGGGGCTATAGGAAGGGTCCTCAGGAGGTGGGGAGAGGAGAGACGTGGAGAAAAAGTGTGGCCTGGGTTGGAGGACCAGGAAGGAGGCTGATTGCATGAGACAGATGAGACATCTTGAGTCTGTGGCATGACTGCTCAGAAGGGCTCAATGGGGCACATGGAGTGAGTTGTGGTCTATGTGAAGTGCTCCAGTGAGGAAGTAAAGGCTGCTCTATTGTCCTTGGTGCCTGGAGGAGCCAGTGGGGCCATCCCAGGGAGGACACCCCAGGGGAGAGGGAAGCCTGGGAGATGCTGAAAAGACTGATCCCCATTTCTCAGAGGAAAGTAGGGCCTCACTGGGACTGTGGACTTTCTTTCCCCACACACTTCCCACCACTGGCTTCCTGTTTCTGTAGGTCAGCACCATCTTTTTCTTCATGGCTCTCCTTCAAACCTCTGAGTCATTGCTGCCTCCTCTGGGCCCCTCCTCCCCTGAGCAGAGCTCCTCCCTTACACTGGGAATTCGTTCTCAGCTCTGGGCAAGCGCCTGCATGGAGGCAATCCAGACTTCACCATGGACACAGACAGACTCGGGCACCTGTATGACAATTTATGTTATTGATATCTCAGCAAAGGAGAATGATGTCAATGAAGAAGAAACAGATTTGAACAATTAGATAGCTGACCATTTCACAAATTTGTGGACAGTCATACACTTACACATTCAAGGTACTCAGCTATAAATATTTAAAGCCCAGCTGATGTGGTTCAGTGATTGAGTTGACCTATGAACCATGAGGTCATGCTTCCATTCCTGGTGAGAGCACATGCCTGGATGTGGGCTCCATTCCCAATGTGGGGCAAGCAGGAGGCAGTTAATCAATGATTCTCTCATCATTGATCTCTCTCTCTCTCTCTCTCTCTCTCTCTCTCTCTCTCTCTCTCTTTCTCTGTCTCCCTCTTTTTTCCTCTCTGAAATCAACAAAAATTGTTTTAAAAAGTTTCTCTTTGTCTTTAACCTTTCCTTTTTAATTTTGATGTGTCTTGGTTTGGGCCTTTTTGGGTTTTTCTTGTTTGGGACTTGTGTGTCTTTTCTTCACTAGTTTAGGGAAGTTTTCAGTCATTATTCCTTCAAATCAGTCTCAATTTTTTGCTCTCTCTCTCCTCCTTCTGATACTCCTATGATGATGCTGCTGTTATACTTCATTTTGTCCCAAAGGTCCCTTAAACTAGCCTCATTCTTTTCATTTTTTCCCTTCTTTTTGCTGCTCTGATTGTTGTTTTTTTTCTACCTTGTCTTCCAAGTCACTCATTTGATCTTCTGCTTTATTTTAACCTATTGCTTATTCCTTCCAGTGTATTCTTTTTCAAAATCCTCAACTGAGGATACGTTATTTTACAGCTTATTTTATTTATTTTATTTTTGTTAATCATCACCAGAGGATATTGTTTCCATTGCTTTTCAGAAAGAGTGGAAGGAAGGTGGCAGTGGGAAAGAGAGCAACATCAGTGCGAGAGAGACACATCAACTGGTTGCCTTCCTCCCATGCCCCGACTGGAGCTAGGGATCAAACCTGCAATCCAGGTATGTGCCCGTGACCTGGAATTGAACCTGAGACTCTGTGGTGCAGGGCCTATGCTCTACCCACTGAGAAACACCAGCCAAGGCTAAAAGTGATTTTTGAGAGAGGAAGGGAAGGGGAGAGAGAGAGAGAAACATTGATTGTTTGCCTCCAGTCTTTGCCCTCACCAGAGATCAAACCCACAACCTAGGCATGTTCCCTGACCAGGAATTGAACCACAGCATTTTGGTGTATGTGACAATGCTCTAATTGAATGAGCCACCCAGCCACAGCCAGTGTTTCACGATGTCATATATTGTATTCTTCATTTCTGAGTTCAAAAAATGGTTTTTTTCCATGCTGTTATAATTTTCCCTAAGTTCTTTGAACATCTTTACAACTATCACTTTGAACTCTATATCTAACAAACTGCTTGATTTAGCTGTGTTTTTTGGAGATTTCTACTGTTTTTTTTTTTTCACTTGGGGTCTGTTTCTCTGTCTTCCTATTTTGGCTGCCCCTTTGTGTTAATTTTTTGTGTATGAGCTAGATCTGCCATGACTCCCCGCTTTGTGGGGTGACCTAGTGTGGTAGGTGTCCTGTGGGACCAAGTCCTGTCGTGTAGTCTCGTTGATCACCTAAGCTGGGAGCCCTAGGGATATCCCTTTCATGGGTTATGTGGGCCCTCCTCTCATAATTGAGTCTTTTTATTTTTTAATAAATAAATATATTCTGTGAACATGTATTTGCTCTTCGTTCCTGGTCTGGCCCAGCCCCTAGCCCCGCCCCCGCCACCGCCCCGCCCTTGCCTTCCTCCCTCCCTCTCAATCACCAGTCCCTTGTCTTCAATCTCTCATCTCTATAGACAACTGGTCAACCCGATCTTTCTGAGCCACTGCCAGAGACAAAGTCTGAGCCAGGCCATCTGATTGACCTCGTCTCTAGCAGTCTTCACCAGTGTCTGAGACTAATTTTGGGTCGGCCATCTGGTCGACCCCATCTCTCATGGTCCCCATCACTGCCGGAGACTAAATCTGGGCCGGCCATCCGGTCGACCCTGTCTCTCACAGTCCCAACCACTGTCTGAGACAAAGTCCACGCCGGCCATCTGGTCCACCCAGTCTCCTACAGTCCTCACTGCTGCCCGAGACTAAGTCCGGGCCGGCCATCTAGTTGACCAGAGTCACTGTGCAGACAGTCAGTACCTGAGCGGGCAGTTTTGGGAGTGCTGGTCGACAGGGTTCCTCGGAGGGGGAGGAAAAAATGCGGAGGAGGGAGCCTGCCTTCGGCACCCCTGGGAAAGGGGCCTTGTCCGCCACCATCACCCCCACTTCCCCGTCCCAGCCCGGGCCGAAGACCCTGGCAGGTTCCCGTGCCAAGCTCGAAAAGAAGGAATGGACACCAATGCTGCCATGGGCTACACGCACGCGGTCCCCCCGCCCCTTTTCCCCCTCGACCATCCTCCGCGAGGTAGTCCCCTGGGGAAGGAGAGAGGCAAGAGGCCTGGAGCGAACCAAACCCTTGTGTCAGAGGGCTGACTTTCAATAGATCAAAGCTAGGTAGCTGCTCTTCTAGGAAACCCGACCCAAAAGCAGTTTGTCTACAAATGGTTTAGCACCAGGTTGCCCATAATGTGCATTGCGTGAAGGGCAAGGGGCAGCCCCCTTTCCAGCCGAACCCTGTTTGCCAGGACAAAGGGCTCTTCGCACGGACTGCGGACACTGTGTAATTGAGTCTTGATGGCTATTGTGTTTGTGCTTGGGATCAACCTTCAGGCTGGCTGAATGTGAGGCTCAGCCCCCACTACAGCATGTCAGCTGCTGGGCAGATGCTGACCACACAAAGAGGCATTGGCCTCAGCAGGGTCTGTTGTCTGGGAGGTCTCCCTTTAGATATGCTGCTTGTGAGGCTAGTTGGGTCCTGCTCTGATGTCGTCTGAAGCTGCCCACTGGTGGGTTGGTTCTGGGCCTCTTGGGAGGGACTCTGGTGCAGGCGAAGGTCATCCACTGCCTGGAGAGCAGGGCGGCCCTTTTCCCCTGCCTGCCCTTCCTGCCAGTCTCCAAGTGGCTTCTGTAAATCCTTGGCTCTGTGACTCCTCCTCAGCTAGTCTCCAGGCGGTTAATCAGGGTGATTGCTCCTTCATTTAGTTGTGATTCCAGTTTGGTCCTGGGAGGAGGTGAGTGTAGTAGCTTCCACATACTCTGCCTCCACCTTGAAATCTGCATTTGCAGTTAACATTGGAGTTGTCAGGAGGCCCCATGAAAGGACTGAAGGAAGAGGACCATAGCAGCGTGGCACACACCTGGTCAGCCACAGCCTTGTAGCGTTTCCGTGGCTACTGGGGTCCTGCAGGTTGGTCCTTGAGGCTAGTGGTGGGGAGGAGGAGAGATGACAGCTGCTATAGGGCCACCCATGGCAGCTACTGCCCATCATTCACTTAAAGCCTTCTCTCACTTTTGTTTTGTTCTAAATTCACACATTGATTATTGAGAAGTCTTTTTTTATTTCAAAATGTAGGCATATTGCTTATAGAACCAGGTGACTCCCAGAGGTTCCCAGGAGCGGCAGGCTGCACTCTGGTCTCCAGGCTGGCTGTGGTCAGGAGGCCGCATTTCACAGCTCCGGCCATAAACCAGGCGTCTGCTTCTGTTTGATGTATGACCAGGGGTTTTGCTGTGCTGTATGGCGGGTGCGGAAGACATAGGTCTGCGTCCCCTTGGTCTAAAACTGGAAGTCTGAAACGCAATTGGTTTTTAGATATTAATGATGTATCCAGTGACATTAGATACATTCTTTTCAAATTAGAATAACAGATCTTCATACTATTTTAGATTGTGTGTGTGTCTATGTGTGTGTCCATGTATATGTCCATGTGTGTATGTGTGTGTGTGTTGGTGTGTATGTCCATTTGTGCCCATGTATATGTCCGTGTATGTTTGTGTATATGTCTGTGTGTGCCCATATGTATGTCCATGTATATATGTGTATGTATTTCATACATGCATGTGTATATGTGTGTGTATTTCATACATGAATAAGTGTTTATAAGTATTTAGGAGAGAAACTTTAGGAACACTAAGGAGACTTTGCAGGAAAGTGTTTTTTTAAAAAATATATATATTGATTTCAGAGAGGAAGGGTGAGAGAGAGAGAGAGAGAGAGAGAGAGAGAGACATGGACACACACATAGACACACACACAATCTAAAATCCCAGAAAAAACCTCAATGATGAGAGAGAATCACTGATCAGCTGCCCGGTGCAGGCTTCCCACTAGAGATCGTTCCTGCAACCCAGGCACGTGCCCTTGATTGGAATCAAACCCAGGACCCTTCTGTCCGCAGGCCAATGCTCTATTCACTGAGGCAAACCAGCCAGGGCTGAAGGAAAGTTTTTAATTACAGATTCAATGTATTTAACAGACATGACAGTTTAGTTTCATATTTCACCCACATGAGTGAAATCATATGGTTCTTGTCCTTTTCTTTCTGACTTTCTTCACTTAGCATGATGCTCTCCAGATCCATCCATGTTGTGGCAAATGGCAGTATTTCATTTTTTATGGCTGAGTAATATTCTCTTTGTATATGTTCCCAGATCTTTATCCCATTATCAGTTCAAGGACATTTACGTTGTTTCTATATTCCACTTCATAGGTTTGATGTATGATATTTACATTGTCATTCATTTAAAGCATTCTCTCACTTCTGATTTGTTCTATGTTCACACATTGATTATTGAGAAGTCTTGCTTTGATTCCAAAATGTAGGTATATTGCTTATAGAACCAAGGGACTCCCAGAGGGTGCCAGGGGCTGCCGGGGGAGCAGGTCTGGTCTCCAGACAGGCTAGGGTCACTAGCTGAGTGTCCATGGGCAAGTACCCATGCCTTCTGGGGTCCCTGCAGGCCCCCTCCCTGAAGTGTGGGGTCTGGGTCCTTCCTGGGCTAGTGGATGGCTAGAGTAGCATACAAGCTGGGCTCTTCTCGGGGCTCCTCTGATGGGGAGTATGAGGGGGCACTTGTCTGCCATCAAGAGGTTCAGCTGGGCGTATGTCACATCCTGGGGTAGTCAGGTGCAGCCTGGAAAAGGGGGAGAGAGAGAGAGGGATGACACTTGGTTGGGGTTGGGGAAACCTGGAGTTCTGCAGAGAATGGGACTCACCAGACTGTCCATCTGTCTGTCCTCTTCCGCTTGTCAGCCCTTTGTGTCCAGCAATTCCTCTGACAGGGAGGAAGGAGAGGTGGCCATTCCCTGCCTGGGTCTTGGTCTTGAGTGTTTCACCTGGGCGTACGTCACTCCCTGGGGGTCTTCATCCTGCCTGTTCTGCTGGAGACAGCGCCTCCGGTCATGTTTCCCATGTTGCCTGTGAGATGATTTACACTTTAAATAGATCAGGTCCCTCTCCTGGTGGAATCTGCAGGGCCTTCCTGAGCCTTGGGGCGTCTGGATGCTTCTATGGTTCTGAATATTATCCTAATGCACTCTCTTTTGCTCACTTGGCTCTAGCCTCATGGCCCATCCTCCTGCAGAAGCATGTCCCGTTTCAGGACCTTTGGACCCGCAGTGCGGCCAGGGACACTCTATCTCTTCCTCTTGCTTCATATTCCTTCACAGCACTATGCTCTCTGGGACACTGTCTGCTTGTTTGCACATTGTGTCCCTCACCCACTGGTGAGCTGGAGGCGTTTGGAGACAGTGTGGCTCAGGGCTGCACCGTGGCCCCTAAATGGAGCCAATAAACAGCCCTGTCACATCTGTTGGGGGAATGAATGAAGGGGATCCTGGGGACCTGTGGGTGAGTCACTCATTCCTGCCTCCTCCTGAGACCTGGGGCTTATCAAGGTCAGACAGAGGACGAGGGGCCAGCACAGGGGGCCACGAAGGAGGGGCCATGAGGTCACAAGGAAACCAGGAGGAGTGAGTCACATCAGGACGACCTGGGGCCCAGAGGGGAGGTCAGTGTGGATGCTGCTGAGAAGCAGGTGACGTGGAGATAGGGAAGGGTCCATTGGATTAAACTGGGCAACAGAAGGTCCTTGGTGGACTGGACAGTAGCACGGGTCTCACCCGAAGGCCCAGCTCCATATTCTCCCGTCTGCGGGTCTGTCACATCAGCATCTGCTGGTGCAGCACAGGGGTGTGTCTCCTGGCAGGTCCCTGAGATCTCAGGGCTGCAGACCCTGCCTGCTCCCAGATGGGCCACTAACCCAGGGTGAGGTGCAAAGCCAGGTCACACAGTGTGGGTCTCAGTCCTTCTCACCCTGACCCCCAATCTTCCTGCCTAACCCTCCCTATCGCCTCCTGAAATCCCTGTGCCCCCTTCCCCAGGCCAGCTGTCTCTTCCTCTCACAGAGGGGCTCCTGCTGGGCATCAGCAGCTGGGCTGCAGCTGGGGGAGAAGACAGAAGAGTTAGGGGCAGGGGGACCAAGGTCAGGGAAAGCCTGGGGCCTTTGCTGAGCCAAACCAGCTAGGGCTCCACATTTCCTGATTAGAGGTTCTGGAGAAATCCACTCAGCTGACCTTCTCCAGCTGTTTGGTTTTTCTGTGGCAGGTGCTCTGAGCTCCCCTCCTGTGACCCAGGTCACCCCTACTCACCTGATGTACTGCCTTTGCTCTGACGCCGGAATCGGGGGAAGAGGAAGAGGAGGAGGGAGAGCAGCAGGATGAGGGCCACTGAGACCCCGATCAGGATTATCAGTTTCCATTCGAGATCTTGAACACAAGTGATGTCATGACTGAGCCAATGACATAATAAATGAGCACCTACTGTGTATGAGGCACATGCTGGGGTCTGTCATTCATCTCTTCTAACTTCACAGCAGTCATGCGACAGGGATTGCTGACCCCACTACCCATTTCACTGAGGCTCAGAGAGGTTAATCAGAAGCCCCAGGTCACCCAGCCTGGGCAGGGCAGGGCTGGGACTGGAACCTGGGACAGGGGGATCCCTTGTGTGTTGTTGTTACTGTTATTATTATTTTAATCCTCACTCAAGGATATTTTTTGTATTGATCTCTAGAGAGAGGGGGGAAGTCATGGAGGAGGGGGAGAAAGAGAGAGAGTGAGAGAGAGTTAGAGAGAGAGAGAGAAATTGATGTGAGAGAGACAAATTGACTGGTTGCCTCCCAAATGTACCCTGACCAAAATAAGGGATAGAATCTGCAACTAAGGTATGTGCCCTTGACATTGGACGGAACCTGCAACCCTTTAGTCCGGGGGCTGACACTCTGACGGAGCAAAACTGGTCAGGGCATTATTACTATTGTTGTTGTTGTTGTTATTATTATTATTATTACCAGAGGCCCAATGCATGAAATTTGTGCAAAGGTGGTTTGGCCCTCAAATCTCTAGCCATCCCTTGTGTTATGCCCAGATCCCAAGATCCCAAAGACCACACCAGGGAGCCAGAGCCGAGTCCGATGCAAAAGCAGAAGAGCCTTTATTCGAGCTGGGACCCTCCACCCAACCAACGCAGCGGTATAGAGGCGGAGAGCCCCGAATCCTCCAACATGGCATATTTATAGGTCACTTGGAATCTGTTACTGTGTTACTTGGGTGAGGGTCATGTTGCGACTTGCTTGATCGGCAGCCATCTGTGCAAATAGAGGGTAGGTGGCAGGAAACTGTTAAATTAGTTTATTGTGACCACTCTGCTTCCTGATAGGTCAGGCTTAGCAAGGGGTTCTTTTTCAGCAGGGCAACCGGGGGCAGTTTGTGGCTTTTTCCTGGAAGGGGGTCAAGGCTTTCCCCGGAATGGGTTGAGCTAAGGGCAGTTACACAGGCTCAGAGCAAATATGTTTAGCCCTCTCATTCCGATCACACGGGATGAGGGCCTTAGAGCAAATGTTTAGCCACAGAATGAGGGCTTAGAGCAAATGTTTAGCCCTTTCACTTGCAGCCCCTCACAGCCCTGGCCAGGCCTTACAGCCTCGGCTTTGTCCGGAAGGTCATGCGAAAGGATGTTGTGCTATTCGGTCTAATTAGCATATCAGCTCTTTATTATATAGGATTATTATTATTATTCATGTTGTTCCTGTACCTGCAGGTACTCATCCTTCTCCATCCCAGCGCAGATCCCTGTCCCACTCTGCAGCCTGACACCCCGCCACCCCCACAGTGGGGTCTGTGCATGTGGGGCGCCAATAGGAAGGGTAGGAGGGAGGGCTGTGTCCTTTCTAAGCTCTAACCAGGGCCGGGCTGCGTGCTGAGGGCTTTCCCTTTGAGGCAGGTGGGGGCCTGACCCACAGCCCATGGACCAGAACTCGGAGGAACAGACATGTCCAGGGTCCCACAAGCGGGAAGGAGCAGAGCTGGGATTTGAACCAGGGCTGAGGCTGCTTCTCCTGACTCTACGGCTGCTCTTTGGAAGGCCGTGGAGGAGACTCAGACACTACCTGAGTCCCCAACACACACACACACACACACATGCACACTCACACGTGCACAAACGCACAGGTGCACACACGCGCACACACATGCATGGAGGCACATGTGTAAACACATGCACAAACACACATACACACACAATGCACACACACACACACACTTGCACACACACACTTGCACACACAGTGTCCTGGCAGCCTTTGGAGAACTTGGTCCCAGTGAGAAGGAGGAACTTTCCTCAGGCCATTACCCAGGAAGTGGCTGAGCCAAGACCAACACTGAGCTCCTCCCACCCACCACCTCCCCCCAGACCCTCACTTAGTCCTCTGAGGGCCTGACTTCCCGTTGGGGGACCAATCCTCAGAGGCTCCTCAATCACGATGGGAGGTGAGGTGTGGGGGCTGCTCCTCCCCTGAGGCAGGGATGGGAGCAGCTCTGGCTCTTTCCATCCCTCTGGGAGGTGAGAGTCCCCTCTGGGTGACCTCCACCAGGTACTCCATCAGTGCATTGCAGCCTAAGGTCCCCTGGGGACAGGGGCCTGATATGACCTGAGGACACAGGAGTGGGGCTCCTCACCTGAGACCACCAGCTGCAGGGGGTCGCTGGGCTGTGACAGCAGGTAGGGAGAGGTGCTGTTTGAGCCATAGCACCTGTAGGTCCCCTGGTGGCCTGAGGTCACAGGACTGAGGGTGAAGTTGGCCTGAGATGGTTCAGACGTGTTCTGCTGATGAAGGTGCTGGGGAGGGTCCAGTGACCCCTCCCTGTGCAGGTGGAAGGTGTCAAACCAGATCTCAGACCCACACTGCAGGGTCACGGTCGCTCCCCTGGGCACTGAGGGTCCCGGCTGCGCTGAGAGGGAGGGTTTTGTGTACATTCCTGGGGAGAGGAAGGTTGTGATGTGTAGAGAGCCACCCCTCCCCTCACGCCCTTGACCCTGAGCTGAGGTACCTTGTCCTCCAGAGACTCTGTGATCTGCTCCCAGCTCCTCTCAGTCCTCATGGGTGGATGTCTTTTATCTCCATGACCTCACCCCATTACTCCTTCCCTCCCCTAGGCCTCTGCCCAACTCAGCCTCTGCTCCAGGCCCCTCTCCTGGACCCCATCACCCCCAGGTGACCCTGAGCCAAGACCCCTGAGCAGACCCTCAGGACAGGGGCAGGGCTGGCTCCTCACCGGCCACCAGGATGTCCAGGGGGGCGCTGGGGGCTGACCACGTAGAGGAGAGGTGGTGTCCACTGTAGCATCGGTACCGGCCCCCGTGGGTGCAGTTCACGTGGCCCAGGGGGAAGTGGGGGCTGTGCTGCCCATGGAGGCGCTGGGGGTGTGTGAGCCCCTCGTCCTTGGTCAGAGCGAATGTGTCAAAGCCGGCCTCCGCGTGGCACTGGAGGGTCAGGTTGTGTCCAGGCAGCACCAGCGAGCCTGGCTGGGCCGAGAGGGCGGGCTCCCTGTGCACACCTGGGAGGAGCGGACAGTGGCACCAGGGGACACCCCACATTGCCCTCTGGGCTGCAGTGGGAAGTCTCACATGTCCTCCCTGAGCCTTCTGCCTGTGGGTCTGTCCCCAAGTGGCCAGTGTACTCACCCCATGGGTCTATTGTTCCACTTGGCACACAGCTTAGATCAGGTATTTGGGCCCAGGAAATAGATGGGGTTGAACCTGGGTCTGCTCCTCACCTGTGACCTCGATGTGCAGAGGGGCACTGGGCTGTGACCACACGTTGGGGTAGGAGCTGGAAGAACCATAGCATCTGTAGGACCCCCCATGGGAGGTGCTCACAGGGCCCAGAGGGAAGATGGCTTGGGCCTTTGACCTGCCAGCATGCATCCTCAGTTCTGCTTCCATGTGTTGGGGTGGGTCAGCCCCTCCCTCCTTCAGCAGATGGAAAGGGCCCGATGTGAACTGTGAGCTACAGGAGAGGGACACGTTCCTTCCTGAGGCCACCACAGGGCTTGGCTGGGCTGAGAGGGAGGGTGCAGTGTACACTCCTGAGGGAGGAGAAAGGGTCTGTGTTAAAAGGACCATCACCCTCACGACCCAGGTGTGTTCTGTGAGGGGTGAGGGCCCCTGAGGCCACACTTTATTCCCTCTGCCTGTGACCTGCAGTCCACAGTGGGAAGGGGACCCGGGGTCTCCCTTACCTGTCACCACCAGGAGCAGGGGGTCACTCCTCTGAGACAGTATGTCCCCAGTGCTGTAATATGCACACTGGTACAGCCCTGCGTAGGATGGGGTTGTGGCTCCAATGAGGAAACCGGCCTTGTTGCTGGAGTCCTGTGGGATCCTGGTATCCAAGGGCTCAGAGCCCCTCTCTTTATACAGAAGGTAGACACTAGCCTGCAGAGACCCCTGACACCAGATGGTCACAGAGCTCCCGTTGGTGACGATGGGGCCTGGGTCAGCCCAGATGGAGGGTTTGGGGACGTCTCCTGGAAAGGAATCAGACCTGAAATGTCTGGTGAGTCCTTCTCCCCTCATGACGTCATGAATGAGCCAGAGATGCCATTTAATGAGCACCTACTGTGTGGGAGACACCTACTGGGGTCTGTAACTCATCTCCTCTCACCTCACAGCAGTCATGCCCCAGGGATGCTGACCCCAACATCCACTTCATGAGGCTCAGAGAGGTTAATCACCTACCCCAGGTCACCCTGCCTGGAAGGAGTAGGGCTGGGTCTGGAACCCAGGACTGTGGGTTTCCTGTGCTGTCCTCACGCTGCCCCCCAGGGGGACACCAGCTTCATGCTCTGGGCTCCTCCACTGCAGAGGCCTGTCCAGGTCTCATCTGGAGCCGAGGATCCTTCCTCATTTTCCGCCCCCAGCACAGCAGGGACTGGAGGGGCAGAGTGAGGGGTGGACTCTGAGTTTCTCCCTAATCCATCCCCACCCTGGAGGCCCTGACACCCCCTTGGGAAGGTCTGGCTGGGCTGGGGCTCTGCCTTTCTGAGCTCTGTGAGGCCCTTATGTCACCTCATCTCCCAGCAGCCTGTGAGCAGGATGGGACCAGGGATGAGCAGACAGGAACCCGACACTCAGAGGAGAGAAGGGACCGCCCAGCCCCACAGCAGAAGCAGCAGAGCCAGGAGGTGCACGAGGGCTGATCCACCCTGTTCCCTCCTCTGAGCTGAGCCTGAGCTGAGGGGTAGGACTGGGTGCCCGGACCCTTGCCCTGCCTGTCCCTCCCTGTACAGTGTCACCATCACTGAGACTGAGGGGACAGGCCCCATAACATCATGTCCTGGGGGCTTCCCTGAGAGGCCCCTCTCCCAGGAGGTCAGGGCCAGAACTGACAGGAAATGTAAGATGTGGGCCTTGATTCACCTTTTTAACACTTGGAGACACGGAAGGCCTGGCAGGGGAAGGGCAGGTCCAAGTGAGAGACTTCGGAGGATCCAGAACCATCACATGGCTCAGCCCCTGTCCCCATGGAGGCACCCACCACCTCCCCACAGAGACCCCCACTTCCCCACTGTGGGCCTGACTCCCTGGGTGGGGGAGATGGATCCTCAGAGCCTCTGGGGCCTTTGGTTCCCTGAAATCTGTCCCAGCTCCTAGCAGCCTTAGGACACAGCCTGCCCTTAGTGCAGGGGTCCTCAAACTACAGCCCACGGGCCACATGCAGCCCGCCGAAAACATTTATCCGGCCTGCCGGGTGTTTTTGCCGCAGCTGCCTGTCCTGCTCAGCAGCCGACTCATCCCGGGCCCGCAGTGCGCATGTGTGGAATGTCTGAGGGACAGTGAAGTGGCCCCCTGTTTAAAAAGTTTGAGGACCTCTGCCTTAGTGCATGGGCGGCATTAGGTCCTCAGACTCAGAGCTGCCCAGGGGAGTTGACTCCCTCGGAGCAAAGGGGATCCCGTTTGAGAGAGGGGCTGGATTCCAGGGGACCTGGGAAGGAGAGCAAGAGGGGGTGAGTCTGGGGCTGACCCTGGAGTCCCCCCTCACAGAGTCCTCACTAAGTCCCTCCCACCGCCCACCTGGCTCCTTATGGAGCAGATGAAGGGGAGGGTTGGGGAAGGGACGGGGTGTCTGAGGTGGAGATTTCCTCTGGGTGACCATCCCTACAGCCCCTCACTTCCTTTCAGCCCACAATCCTGGGGACAGGACCCTGAGCTGACAGCTCAGCAGACAGGATCAGGGGCCCTCACCTGAGACCAGGAGCTCCAGGGACTCACTGGGGTGTGACCACACCTGGGACCTGTTCCTGTAACAGCCATAGCATCTGAAGGTCCCCCTGTGGCTGGTGTTCACGGGGCCCACAGGGAACAGGTCCTGGGACCACCCACTGGGCTGTGGCTGCGAGTCCAGGGTCCAGGAGAGCCTGTGATCTCCTTCCTTAGTCAGAATGAACCTGTCAAATCCCTGCTCAGAGCCACACTGGAGGGTCACGTTCCCTCCTGAGGTCACGACAGGGCTGGGCAGGGCTGAGAGGCTGGGTTTGCTGTAGGCTCCTAGGAGAGGAGGAGGCAGCGTGTTAAATGGGCTCACACCTCCCTCATGTCCCCCAGGGTTGGGCTGTGAGAGGGAGACACCCTGAGAGCAGACCCCCTTCCTGAGGGCAGAGCCTGAGGCTGGGACCCCTTAGTGTCCTCTCACCTGTCACCACCAGCTCCAGGGGGTCACTGCGCTCTGACCTGCCAGCAGGGCTGCGATAGTAACAGCAATATCTCCCTGCATCATGCTCTGTCATGTGTGTGATGGAGAACTTGGCCTTGTCCGCAGGCTCCTGTGGCTCCTGTGTTTTCCATGGTGCTGGGCTTCCCTCTTTATCCAGATGGTACTCCTCAGCCCCTGGGGTCCCCTGACAGGTGATGGTCACGGGGCTCCCCAAGGGGATCAGAGGGCCTGGCTCAGCCCTGAGGGTGGGCTTGAAGAGGGGACCTGGAAGGAATCCGAGGCTTGGTCACAGGACATTTCCACCTGTGGTCCCAGCTCTCAGTCCCAGATGCCCCCCCATCTGTCAGACAGATCCTTCCCCAAATGCCTGGGGGTGGCCCTTGTCCCCAGGGAAGAGTGGGACCTGGGACACCTGGGGAGACTCACCTGCCTGCCCTGGGGTCTTGAGGCCCACACTCAGCCCTGGAAGAGAGTCCCTGTGAGGGATTTGCCCTGAAACCTGAGCAGCACCCTCCTCCTCATGAGCCTTCTGAGTCCTGGGGCCCTGACAGACCAGGGCTCCCTCCCTCCTCCCATCTCACCGAGGCAGAGCAGGGCCCTGAGGGTGGGGGTCATAGCGTCTCCTCCCTGTGGCCTCAGCTGAGCAGATGGAGGAGGCCACAGTACCAGAAGGATAGATGGACAGATGAACAGGTGATGGTCACTTGGAGGCTCCTCCTGCCTGTCACAGGGTTGTCATGTCAGCAGCCTGCAGACGAAGGCAAAGTCTCTCTAGCAGCCTGGCTCTCATTTTCATGGTGAAGGAGGAAATAGACCCTGAGCCCCCTGAGTTGCCCCTTGCTGCTGAGGTGACCCAGGGCATGTCCTTCCCTGTCAGAGCCTCCCCCACGGGGTCTCCCTCCTCAGCCCGCCCATCAGCACCTCCCTGGGGTCCTCACCATGGACAGTGCCACCCGGGCCTTGGAGCTGCTTCAGGAAGACGTGGGTCCCTGTGGCCTGCAGAGCTCAGATCAGCAGGGACACGCTCACCCTCTCACTGTGCAGCTCAGGGCGATGTCCCTGTGACAATGAGCACAGAGGGAAATGCAGGGAAATAAGGGAAGGAAACAGGTCCCTTCTGTGGCCCCAGAATCTGGGTTTTCTTTCTATCACATGTTTCTTCATGAACTTCCCTTTTTCTTAGCCACAGCCTCCAGCCCCTCCTTCCTGGGAACACACCTCAGGGTCTTTTCCTCTCAGGGCCTCTTGTTCCTGGGGCAGTGCTGTCCCCCTGGGACCATGGCTTGTCCTAGACATTAAGAAGCTGTCGTTTGGTCTAGAGCTTTGATTTGTTGAGAAAAACCGCCTTTATTTTAATACTTGTGTCCCACCTGCTTTCTTTGTAAATTGAGCAACAATGTCTTGATCAGGTGTTTTCTTCCATTTTTTTACAAGAGATCACCCAGTGTAATTTACTTACTCTTCAATGAGTTTATCTCCTGGAGTGTTACAGCAATACACAGATTCAATGCCCAGTCTTAGCAAGACAGTTTCTCTGGAATTTGGCATGAACCGTCCACTGTCTCCATGAGCAGGAGTTCGCTCTCCCCAGGTGACTGTGGATTTGTGCGCTTTGCCACCAGGAGTCTCTGTGCTGCTCTTTGCTTTGTACATGGAGCACATCTCTTGCCCAGACAGAGTTCAGTTTCATCTCCTGCACACACACCTTCAGCTTTAAGGGAAGCTGTGAGCTTCCTCTGCCTCCTGAGACCCTGCCTGCAACCGGCAGAGCTGGTCTGAAACACAGCTTCCACACATATTAGTGCTCATAGGAGTCCTGCTCCCAGCAGGCCCCACGGCCAGTGGCGGGAGCGTCACTCACATACTTTTCTTCTTCCTTTTTCCCCCAACAAGTTTGAAAAACAAACAAACACACACTTTAATTATTTTAGAGAGGAAATGAGAGGGAGAGGGAGACAGAAACATCAATGATGAGAGACAATCACTGATCGGCTGCCTCCTGCACGCCTCACACTTGGGATGGAGCCCCCATCCAAGGCATGTGCTCAGATTGGGAGTTGAATCATGACCCCCTGGTTAATATGTCTATGCTCAACCTCTGAGCCATCACGACAGGCTCTTATTCCAGTTTTAAAAGCTTGATGTGTGGATTTTGACGAGAAACATCCCTCTCAGACGTACGTCTCGCGTATCTAAATGCATTAGCTCTGTCACAGTGTCTATGACACCAGTGTCCAATGTCCCGGGATTGTTCAGAAGACCTGGCTGCGTACTGGGTGGGCCTGTAGTTACTTGTGTGCGATGATTTCACTTTTCCGATGACATTTTGACTGGTTCGACAATGCTTCAGATTTTCATTTATTCTAGTGGCCGTCTTGGAAAATAAATCCTCACATCACCAAGGTAGAGTATGGCCCTGAGGGTGAGGATCATGGTGTCTCCTTCCTCGGTACCTGGCTGTACAGATGGAGGAGACCAAGGTGTCGTCAAATTGGACCCACACAGGTGTGGCCACTGGGAAGCTGGCCCTCCCTGTCTCAGGGCTGTCACCTCAGCAGCCCCACAGGAACGGGCACAGTGTCTCCCAGATGTTTAGCTCTCATTTCCATGATGGATCAGGAAAAAGACCCATCATGAGATGCCTTTGCAGGTAGGTGACCCTGCCAGAGCCTCCCCCACAGGCCTCCTTCTTCCTCAGCCCATCCATCAGCACCTCCCTGGGGTCCTCACCATGGACAGTGCCACCCGGGCCCTGGAGATGCTTCAGGAAGAGGTGGGTTCCTGTGGCCTGCAGAGCTCAGATCAGCAGGGACACGCTCACCCTCCAACTGTGCAGCTCAGGGCGATGTCCCTGTGACAATGAGCACAGAGGGAAATGCAGGGAAATAAGGGAAGGAAATGGGTCTCCTCCTCTGGCCCCAGAGTTTGTTTCTCTTCCTATCCCAGCGCCTGGTCACTCCCCTTTCTTGCAACAGCATCCATCCCATCAGGACGGGAACTTGCCTCTGAGTCCCTCCTCCCCTCAGTGCCCTTGTTCCTTAGGAAGATCTCTTCTCCTGTCCTGGGCCCCTGTCCTCACAGTCAGTGACTAAAAGTGTGTTATTGCTCTATAAGTGTGTATTTGGGGAACAAAACTGACTTTCATTCATTTATTTTTATTTTCAATGTATTTTTTTATTGATTACAGAGAGGACGGAGAGACAGATATAGAAATATCCATGATGAGAGAGAATCATGGACCAACTGCCTCCTGTACACACCACATGGAGGAATGAGCCCGAAACCGGGGCATGTGCCCTGACCAAAAAGCGAACCTCGACCTCCTGGTTCATAGAATGACGCACAACTACTGAGCCATGCCGGCTGGGCTGATTCGTATGTAAATAGGCCTCCATTGTCCATTAGGTGTGTGACCTTCACCCTCAACGTACAATCTCTTGAGTCTCAGTTTCCTCTCATGCAGCAGGGTGTCAAGAACACAACTCCTTAGAGTGGTTGTGGGGTTGGTGCCATGGGGACCTGGAGGGAGCCATCCCGGTTTATTTCCACACCTGACTAAGCCTGTGAGGTGGGCCCTGAGCAGTGTTGTTCAGAATTCCGCAAGAATTGGATGCTATACCCACGTACAAATCCCCATCTGCTCCTGATACTGAGAAAGGCTATGCACACTGTTTCTGAAACATGTGACCATCCTCAATGCCCAAAAGGGAAGTGGAAGTTCCCCAGATGGAGAGGGAAGCAGAACAGATAACAGGGGCCAACGTTGAGTGCCTACTGTTGCTTGGGTACAGCCAGAAGTCATTAATGTGGAGTTTCCCAACTCTGTGTGGACAAGAGTCCCAGGTTTGCCACACACAGGGAGAGGATCTGGACTCAAGGTGAAAGTTGGAGCAGGGTTTCCCCCTCCACATGGTTTGGATATGGGCACTGTGGTCTCTCTACCCACAGACCCAGCCCATGGTCAGCACTGAGCTACACTGCCTGTGTGTGAGTGAAATGGATTCAATTTATTCTAGCCGGGCATGGGCGTCTTACCAGGTGTGAATGTGAGGCTCACCTTTGGAGTGGGCCCTGCTGGGCACACCACAGTCAGATGCTAACTTAGGGAGAGTAGATGCCACAAGGCGGGGCAGACCTTTTGATAGAAACAATGAAGCACATCGATCCTACTGCTATTGGTCGATTCGTTGTTGCAGCTATGAACTTGCCCTCAGACCCCGTTGCTTCTGATTTTGGAACGGAATCATTTGAAGATGGATTTGCTGACTTCAGCACATTGTCAAAGACCAACAATGAGGACCTTTTTAGTTCAGCCACATCCATGTCATCATTACACAAAATGTGCTTGAGAAAGTGTCAGCCAACAGTGAACATGTACCCCCAGCCCTGTCACCAGAGATCAGAACTCCAGCCACACCCTGCTCACCACCACCTGGGAAAGACCCATCAACAAATAGGATTCTTCCTGTCCCTTTAAACTAAATGATTCAGTTCAGCCTTTCCCAGGCAGGGACCACCCCAAGGAAAAAGATGCTGATGTGTTTTGGGTTCCACCCACTTCTGCTACTACTGCCACTACCAACAGAGAAGCTGGTCCAAGCAATTTTGTTAACTTACCCTTTTTGAAGAAGATGTGATTGAATGGGCCAATAGGGAATGAATGTGAGAGAGAAGAAGACCGGAGACTTGTCTGACTGAAAACAGCAGGAGTAGGAAGACTTAGCACTGACTATTGCACCCAGCACACCTGAGAATCAGAAGCAGGAAGAATTCTCCTGTCCTTCGTCAACCATATAATCTTCTTCTTGAACAGTGAAGCTATTTTGTTTGTATCAAAACTACCTGTGAGCATGGGAATCCAAAAGGCTTGAGATTGCTGTGAAATCATAAAAATGACTCACAGTGCCATGAAAGACTATCTACAGAGTGATTAATGGGGGTTATCATGGAAACCACTCAAAGAAACAGAAGACTAGGAATACATGAAACTCATTTTAATTGAAGAATGTTTAAAAATCTGACAATGAAAGGACAGAATTGATTTCTTGGGCAACAATAGGTATCATAGTAGAGAATTACATGAAATTTTAGTAATAGATCATGCAAATGCCTAAGACCTAAGAACAAAAAGTAATTTGATTTAGCACACTCAAACATTCTTTCCATCAAGGAGGAGATACAGCTGAAGATACAATTCTGAAGTTGGAGAACAACATTGAGGAAATTTTTCAGGGTGCAACACAGAAGGACTGGAACTAGAAAATTCAGATACATGGGGAATAGAAAGAGAAGGGCCACTGAAGCTGTGAGATGCAGGAGGAGAGCAGTGCAGTGAGGATGATGTCTCCTTCATTTCTAGAGGCCAATGACTGGGTATGTTACAGAGAAGCAGAGAGAATACAGTGCCAGGGTGCATGAATATGCAAATGAAATGTGTGTCTTGATATTCATAGCTAGTGGGGCAAAGTGATGGGAGCTCACATTCAAACAGAAACATAATGCCAAAAGTTATGTGAAACGTCCATTCAAATACTTGATTGTGAATGAAGAATCCTATACTCACCCACATTTTTATTACAAGGCTAAGGTGAACGTGTCAGAGGGGAGAAATCCATGAGTATGAGAAGAGAGAGGCACATCTGACCCTATGAACTCACATCTCATGTGTTACATTCACCAGGTCAGGTTCTGACTTCAGGAGGGAGGAGAATGCCTTGGCAGTAGGTCCTCAGCCATTAGAGACTTTCTCCCTCCTTGTATTTGAATTATATCCTCTCTTTGAAATAAAACATGTTTTCAAGAGTCTTAATGGAAATAAGACATTTGCAAACATACAAGGTCTCTAATTTACACACTCACTAAAAGCACATGAAGATAGTAATTAAACCAACAGCACAACAGACAAGTAGAGACAGTGAGTTGTAAAAGTGAGAAAAGCAATGGCAAGACTAATAAACTTTAAAAAATATATTGGCACATACATTCACATATACATTATTAATTAAGAAAGGTTAAATAATATTAGGAGTATGTGTGTGTGTGTGTGTGTGTGTGTGTGTGTGTGAGAAACATGAACACACACAGCTTTTGAAATTTGGTACAGAGTTCAGATAACGTGTAGTGCCCTTTTCTTGTCTAAAGGAGAGAATGAATAAAAAATAGTTCACAATTATAGATATAAATACCAATATTAACAATGGTGTACCTATTCAAACTGGAAATGCTTGTTTAACCTCTAAACTGGTTGAAGTAAATATATAAAACAAATAAATATGAATCATTTTAAAACTGGTTTGGCAAATTTTTTAAAAAGCTCTTTAAAATGAACTATATGTACTACTTAAATAAAATGATGCCAACAGTTCAAAATTATTTATTATCTAACATTAAGGCATCTGCTCAAGATAGTAAAGAAAGAAAAGGAAGTACTCAAATCCTCCCATGACCATAGGAAAATCACAAACTATAGAACAATCATCATTCAGAAACACCTGAAGTCTAGGTGAACAGAAGTCAGAAGTAAGGATACAAAGAAGCCGCATGGAGGTGGTAGGAGGGTGGAGATGTGTAATGGGTTGGACCATGTGGAGCAGGTATAAGGACTTTTTTTTCCTACTTAGTTCTTCTTGGTTTAAAAATAATGCCACAGCCCAGCCAGTGTGGCTCAGTGGTTGAACATCGACCTATGAACCAGGAGGTCACCAGCTAATATCCCGGTCAGGGCACACACCTGGGTTGCAGGCTCCATCACCAAAATGGGCATGAAAGAGGCAGCTGATATTTTTCTCTCCTCAATATTTCTATCTTTCTGTCCCTCTCCCTTCCTCTCTCTCTAAAATCAATAAAAACACAGCCAAAAAAGTAAAAATAAAATAAAAAACAATCCCAGATTATGAAGATACCACATTTTGTTGCGATGGATGTGGCCCAGCATGAACGGGTGTATAGATGAGAATCCAAACCAGCCATGTGGAATGGACCTACACATCACAGGTTGAGAACAGAAGGGCAGTGGAGTTGAGTGAGTGAGGACAGAGAGGGAGGGAGAGCAACCCAGGTGGATGGAGGGGGCGTCCTCTACAGGGACATGGCCCGCGTTCTCCTGCACCCAAACCACGCCTACCACGTCTCCTCCCCTGGACGTTCTCAGCAGACAGTTTCCCCAATTATGGCCCAATTCTCTTTCAGCAGCTCCTGGGGTCATCAGATGCACTCCAAGTCTCCGTCACTCTGAACGGTGCATTGTTGCCTCTGTGTTCACATCCTGGCTGCATCGTGGGTCCTTCTGGTGTCGTTTCGAGCCTGAAATAGCAGCACCCCGAGCACCACCAGGACCAAGCCAGCCACGCCCATCCGGATGAGATTCTCCACTGTGTAGTCTTGGGGTGGGAAGTAGGAATTGTGGACAAAGTGTTCACAGACTTCAGAGCAAACCAGAGAAATCCCAGAACCCTGGA